TAGTGAGCTAAAGCTCTTTGGGGAGGATATAGTGAGTATAGTGAGCTAAAGCTCTTTGGGGAGGATATAGTGAGTATAGTGGGTATAGTGAGCTAAAGCTCTTTGGGGACGATCACATGCTATTTGGAGACATCAGCTAATGTACTCCAGTTCAGAATTCTCTACATTCATTGGTTCTTAAAAGAGAGTCAATCCAAGGAATTTTTCCCAGCCCACCTGAAGCTACCTGGAATTTTGGTAAGCCAAGTCCTTAAATCCTAGATTCCTAGCCATGCCATATGCACTAGGCATGCCATGATGCTCACTCATCAGGAATGAATGAACAGCACAACAAAACACATGGAAACTCAAATCTCTATGTTCTGGGTGCCGTTTGTTTGGTTACTCAACTCTCAGACTGAAACGAGTTGGAAAGGAAAAAGAAAATAGCTGCAACTCTATGCCATCAACAAAAGAGAGGAGAGGCTGCCCATCTTACATCCAAGCATGTTTACCTTCAGAAAGCCACAGAAGGTGGTAACATCACTTACCTTTTTAGTGGATTTCATGGGAGAGACAAAACTGTCCCCACCCACTCTTGCCTCCCAAAATGGAATAATAAGCACCTGTCTCTACCTATTACAGAAGCCTCCAAAATGGTTTGCAAACATCTTAGTGGGTGCCCTCTATTTACAATTGGGTTCACTTTATTATTCAAGACTGAATGTCACTCTGTTACTTAAAGCTCGTCCAGGAATAGCTGGTGCTTTCCCATTATTTTTGGCAAAAGGAGGTGTCAGAAACACAGCTTTACCCTTATAAACTGTGTGCAACCTGGCAGTTAAGACCCCTAATTTCTAAATCAAGGCCTTTATATGAACTTGGTTCATTAGCGTCTTTTCTCCACAGGCTCCGGGTAGTGTAAGACTTCCCAGTTATTTGGCAAAGAACAGGATGCTGATGAATATACACATACTGGAAAATGCCACCCATTAACACAGGGCACAGAGGCACTTCCTATCAGCGGCTGTGTGCTGTTCTCCTGTTCATACAGTAACTCCTGTCCTTAAATGCTGCAGCCCACTGATGGAAAAGCTGCTGAAAAGACTTTGTGCAGGAATAACCAGCTACAGATAGGAGAAAGATATAATTTAACAACAGCCCTTGGATCTGGCGTATGTAGAGTAGGTCCGCAATGTGCTAAGTCCCAGTGGCATTGTACACACTTGCAGAGTTGAATGAATGCCCTAGTCTAAAGCTGATATTCTGCACTAGGGAGGGAGGATAGGTATCTCTTCGGGATTTGATGGCACTCTGCTATCCACAGATCCTGTGTTAATCAACCCATAAGGTAGACAGTTCTTAAATAAATAGACATCACTCTTAATATAGATAAGGCAATTTCCTATGTTCCCAAAATACAGATAAAGATAAAACTCCCTTTAAAAGACAAGGACAATTTATGGCTGAGGGCAAGCTGTTTCATGAGTCTTTCACTTTGGTTTGATTAGAACCTTGCCAAAGTATTCAGTACAGGACACAGTATATTTAATGCCTCTGAGGAACAACTAAACATCACCACGATAAATCAAAGTGATGCAGAAGCAGGAGCACTGGGTTCGTGGTGGGATGTTCAGGAAAACTCATAAACCTGCCTAGCCTTCCACTATAGTTCTGATCAAAGCATCCTAGGTCTTTGTTGGTGATCTTGTTATAGGTTTATCATCATATTTTACCTTTCTGCAGCATCTCCAGATGTTCCCAAAGAATGTCCCCTACAAAGTCTGGCGCTAATTCAAGGAAGCAGTCCTTCCCTAGAGCACACAGGGCAGCTCCATTCATGCAGAACTTCTGGAAGTCCACATCCTTCAGACTGAACTCATTCATGGCCCACATAATCCAGTCCCGTACATGAGTTTCTGTCCATTGGTGAGGATCTGCATGAGGAAACCACAGATAAAAACAGTCACTGGGTGTGCCATTTTGTATGTTGCTTACAACGTTCTATTGGGAAAGGCTGCAAGGCCTCTGTTAAGACTAAATTATTGGCCCTTGTATCTCTCTCAATGAAAAATCATACTCTCCCCCCTCTTGATAATCCAGTGAGATGTAGGCCCTTTCCAATATGATTGCAAAATAAGCAACGATCCAATACACATTCCAGTACACCTCTTCTGGTTTGATAAGAGATATCCAGCAGTTGTTATCCAAGGTAGCTAGAAGCTGGATTTTTTTCAGAAGCTCTTGGATTATTAAATACTGGAAACCATCACCAGGACACATTAATTGCAATTTTGTCCAGTCTATCAGCTCCTCAGTACTAAACAGTACTTCCTCTTAATAATACAGCAATAACCCCTTAAAAAAATAGAGGAACATATAAGAAAGGGGACATCAGCTGTTTCCACCATCAAGTTGATTGTCGCTTAGTTAGGTGATGGTGAAAAGAAAGCAGGAATCTCAAAGCTCTGGCAGACAACAGAACATTTGAGGAACTCTATTCCCTGCAAGCTACAAGATACCCATATATGATAGAAATGCTACCCTTCAGCAGTTATGTCCCAAATGCTATGCATGTTCAAACTGCTTTCTATTTACTAAGTGAAAACCGAATTTCATAGAAGGGGCTCTAGAATACATTCAACACACCCATTCAACTTGCACCTGTTTTGAAACCACACAATCCTGTAGCTTATATGCATAAATGAGTATTTGTGGCATACCTTTGGGTATTCCCAGTCGTTGCTGTTCTTTTGTGAAACCACTAAATGTGGCTTTTAATGCCTGAGACATCATTTCCTTGCTGCTTGGAGTTAACAAAGGCACATCTGCACATTCCATATCTAAAAGAAAGAGATGAGAAACAGGAACATCAGTTGATACATGTGATATAGATGGTGAAAGGATCAGGGAACTGCAGTCAAAGGACAGATGCCAACAGGACCACCACCAAGCTTTTTTTCTCTGGCTAGAATACTACTCAATGGGCAAATCTAAGTTAGCAGTCTAAATGAAGTAGCAAAGATAAATAGGAAGAGATTCCATGAGCAGCCAATGGAAGTGGACAGTATGAGACCATTTTTGAGTTACTGAGCTCTGATTTTGTAAAGTTACATAGAATTGAAAGTAGGGTGCTAAGTTTCCCTTGCAGTCAACTTATGATGATTTGGCAATTCTAAACAGAGACCACTGTTTTAACATGGTTGTATACAAGCTCTCCAGCTAGGTTTTCTAACTAAAACCCAAAACAGGAAGGGCAGGGTAGATGTCTTCTTTGGGTTTTCATTTTTTGGGGGAAAGGGTTGTAAGGTTTAAACTCATATGTCATTGCAGTTATGGCCATAGGTTTTCTACCCCTTAAGTCACTGTTCTGTTTTAGTGGTGCCACCTGAATTTAACTAATAGGTGCAGGTCTGAAGTCTCCCAGTCCAGATCCCCCTATAAAGTCAATGCTGCACACATACTTCTAACAAATTAACAGAATTCCTACTTCTTAGTCCTTCTCTCTACTTTGGAACAAGAGAGAGAATGAACAGGGGGAGAAAGAGAAGTATCAGAAGAAAGTAAAACTGGGGAGATCTCAGTTGAATTTAATGGGGACTTCCCAAGAGCATTCTTCCCAAAGCATCTCAATCTTGATAGTGCCAATGACCAACTGGAAAAATAATGGTCTCCTTTCATTTTTAAAGTAAAGATAACCCGACAGAGGACTTCAAGATTCTACATGAGGAATGGTCCTCATCTTCCTTAAAAAGTAGCTTTGGAGATTTACAGTTTATCTCAAGAGAACTGTGTCTTTCTCTTTGCAATTACATCCCATTTTAGCATATATTCAAAAAGACCCATATACCCTGGATCTCCCATAGGGACAGAGAGAAACTGGCTCTGTTCACTCATCACACAAAGCCCTAATGTGTTAGCTCTGGTTTAGTGTGTTCTGTGAATCCCAGCCATTGATTCATAAACCATGTTGAGGCAAACCCCACTTATCATAATAAGTTCATCCAACTAGTGTGTATGTGTGTGCATTTTTATGACAATGAAATGCTCATTTAAAGTAAGGTGGTGAGGATGGGGACTGAGAGTGTCATGTAGATAGCAGGATTTTTCTATCAATGTTTATGATATTTTGTTTGGTAGCCTTCTTGTACTAAGATATACAGTTTTGCTTGTTATCTTTTTGCAAAACTCACAAGGAAGGTTTTGGTGGGATATTTAGGAGCAAATGCAATGGGAACTATAGCCAAGCTATTGGAGAACAAGGAACAGATTCCAAACAATGTTTAAAAATGTCATTTGGATATTTAGAAGGTTTTATTAGCAAAGCTCTGGAGAAATAAACACACTGCCGAGCCAACTCTGCCATCCGTCTTCTGCTCAGAGATAACCCCAAGAGAAAGTGTCCTGTACTCTCTCCCCCTACTTTTAAGCAGCTTGTTGTATTTTAATGGTGGGCTTAGCATGCTCGGAGGTTAAAAACGACCACCCACCAACTGCTCAATCACCTTTGCAGGCTAGTCAGAGGGCAGCTGTGTTGCTCTCTGGCTATGGGAGATTGATTCAGACACAGTTCTGAGAGGTGGGAGAAGCAAGTTCTGACACTTGCTTTGCTGTTGACCAACTTCAAATACAGAAAGGGGAACATATGCACAGCAGACCTTGAGCAGCACACCAGGAGTAGGCCTGCAGGACAATGCTCTGCCCATTCCCTTAAAGGAAGTTCCCAATCAGTTATTCCTCACAAAGCATGCACAAAGGATTATAGCACTAACAAATATTCTAATAACATATATGGAATTGGTTGGGTTCACGTGGGCTAAGCAAGCATAAATACTGTGGTTAATACATAGCACTAAACCATAAGCCATCATTTATAAACCACCAATGACTGGCTTCACACACAATGGCCTGCTTCATACATTGCACTAGGCCATGATACCTAATTCTGATCTGTTCAATAATTCAAAATTTGCTTGGTGCACACAATTATGGTTTAATTTCTTTACTGGCTGGGTTTCACAAAGCTATGGTTTAACTGGAGATTTGTGAATAAACTATAATTGACTGGGCTTCCATAAATGCTAAACCATAAGCAAACCACATTTTGGCTTAGCATAATGTTTGGGCCAGGTGATAAACATATATGCTATTATGCTACAAAGGACATTGAATTGCTACTGATTTTTTTTTCTAAATTGTAAATTCAAGACCACGTTTCAGTCTCCCTGATTATTCCTACCTCTTTCCTTGGTATCTGTTATAAAGTCCCTAGTTCACTGTAAATGCCTCACATAAAAAAGGCTGTATGATTTCCTTAAATAATTCCCTTAAATATTTTGTTAACATTTATAAACATTTTGTTTCAGGTTGCCACTGCTAAGGGTTCCTCTTTGCTTTCAGGGTTTTAATTACGCTCTTCTCAACATTTTTCTCCAAGTTTATTTCAGTTCAAGTGCTAAGAAGCAGTTTTTACATTTAGTTTGCCCAACGAGGATCTATTAAAATACACCCATTCTTGCCAAATGTTGGTCCCAGGTTTAATTTCTAAAATGAGCTCTGCCTTTCTGAACATTAAGCCAGTCAATTAAGATGAGAATTTGCAAACAACGTAGAAGGAGAAGATGGGATACATGAAGCTCAATCCTATGTTTAATTATAATTACTTCCAAGTAAACATGTCTTGGATTCAGTTGTATAATCTGTTCTTCAAGTCAACATGTAGCAGCATACATTGCCTTATCTCATAAATTTAACTATGATTACTCAGAAATAAACCTTATTTCAATGGAATTTACTTCTAAATATATTTTGGATTTCAGCCTTAAAGAGGCAGGACTAGTGTCCTGCTTTAAACTGGTTTTTACATAGATAGACAGACAGACAGACAGATAGATAATGGAAGCAATGCCCATTTAAAATTTATACTTGTTTTGACAAGATGACAAAAGCCTACAGCATCAAGTCCTAATCCGAGTTCAGTAACACATGAATTACTCTCGGTTTCGCAAGTTTCCAGTGCCAGGTGTCCCTGAACCGCTATTACTCCAACCCAGCACGCGGTCCAGACAGCTCAAATTTCACTTATGATCAACAAAAGAGAGAGTTAATACTACAATATTATTCTGCAATAGTGAAGACAGGCACAAAAAAAACCCATAGATCTCGACCTCAGAAAAGAAAACTAAGGTCTAGCTTAATTGAAGAAACGCACAGCTAGCTCTATCCAGGTTACATTTACTATACATTTAGTATAGTCTTATATTACATAACAGACATCAAATGCCAGCTTAGGTAAAGAATTAACATAACAGTCATAGAATTCTCTCATCACATGAAATCATGATTTGCTTAATCATGTTTTGGATAAAAGATAATTGTCTGGGTTCACACAATGCACAGTACATTAGGGCGTAAGTGTGTATACCACTCAGTGTCACGAGACATAGCTTAAGTTATATTAATAAGTAAATTTGACTGTGGTTTAAAAGCCATGATGATTAGAATTACACAATATATTAAACCCAAGCCAAATATATCTTATGGTTTAGTACAAGGTAGGGGCATACACACTATATCTGTAACGAATTTATGACACATCTTTTGAAGACCATATTAAGATTTAAAAAGCTCTTGAAGATTTATTTTATCAAACAGGAAAATTCTTTTCCTTTCCTTATCAACCCAACATCTTTCTGGATAAGAATTCCAAAGTGAATTAGAACTAAAGGTGTTTGCATGTACATATGTTAAATAATATCTAGACTAGCAGCCAGTAATAAAATAGCCCTGTTGGGTTTGCATGTGCAAACTGTATAAGCAATTTAAAAAAAAAATTTTTTTTTAAAACCGGCAACATATTTAACCTTAAAATGAGGCAGGAACCCTGCAATTCTCCATGTTGCAGTTTGTTCAAAACTTACCCAACTATAACTTCCAACAGTATTCATGACTGAGCATTTCTCATATCTGTTCCACTTTGACTATGATTACTGAATTGCAGTTCAGTTATGGAGGATCATAAATTCCCCACTACTACTTTACAACAGTGTTAGGACCCAAATCATGGCAGGCCTTTTCTTTAAGCAATATTTAAACCTCATTCATAGATGTTACAGTAATAAGTGGGAACATTCCTTTCCATCTTGTCTCCTATAAACTACAGGTCCCAATTCTAGTTGTTCTTCATGAAAAATCCATTCTGCCCTTATTCGTCTGGAGTACCTTACACAGTAGCAAGGCCAAATTGATGTCTGGCTGGGACTGGTCACAGCAGGAGTCAGCTGACCTGGGCACCTCTTCTGCTTCCCTTCCTGTCTGAAGATCTGATGGATAGCCACTGAGGTCAGGGATCAAGCTCACTATTGACTTCAAGAGAAGCAAAATGTCATTCTTGCCAACACTTCATTCCCTGAATCCATATCTACTCAAACTCTTAAGCCCATCAGAAAAAGACACCTGATACACCATTGCCATGGGAGACCAAAGCAAAGAACTCCATGGCTAGGTTCACATATCATGCTAAGCCATAAAGCGGCTTGTTTGGTTTGGGCTTTGCATGTTGTAAGAACCCAACCACTGTGGTTCATAAATTATGAGTTATAACTTAATATGATATGGATTATTCAAGATACCATGGTTGAAACAAACCATGGTTTAATAAAAGAAAACCCACCCTATATGTTCTACACAACTGTGGTCTACATATAGGCAACAGGAGTTGAGTTCATCTTGAGAGAGACCTTACCTTAAATACCCCAAGCAGCATCAGAAAGGAGTGAGAAGTATAATGTTCAAGAGCTTATTCGGCAACATTACTCCATTTAGCACAGAGAAGACCCTTGTA